ATTTCTAGAAACATGTAATCTTAAAATAATTAACATCCAGTTTAATTGACATCCTGTAGCAAGTAGTTTGCAGATGGCACATACTACACTTAAAAATTGTCCTCTCTATATCAGTGAAGCATATGTCCAAACACTCATAAACACAGACAAGTATAATTACGTACAGCTCTGCATTCATGACTTGCTAAAAACCACTTGATTTTCCCCATCAATTGCTTTAAAAAAATGAGTGCTCTGCTCTCTTACAAACTCAGAGACAAGCAGTGAAATGTTTTATCTCTTGTTTGTGGATGGTTAACGCTTTCCAAAAGAAGGGACCAAATGCACTGACAAAACATGAAGTGAGATGCCAAGTAGGTTCATAAATACTCCTACCTGCACTTCACCAGTGCCCTTCAACCGTGATACAGAATCAGCCCTTGTCACATTCCTGGAATCTTTGCTGGAACAGACACTGCCCATAGTCATGACAGGTGAGGAGAAACAAGGAAAAAAGGAGATGACAATTGTGTTTTGCTCTAGTCCAGGTTCAGACAGAAGCTTCTTCGTTGGAGAAAGAGGAAGGTCAGTTCACGTTGACCCCCCATTGTCTTTTCTCTGCTGGTGCTCCTTTCCAGAGACCACCAAATGACAGTCCAGTCTGCAGGCCTTGCTTGTTGCCATTAACCAGGTGATCAGTATGTCAGCAGAGACTTATTTATGTCCTTGGTGGTGGTCTTTGTACAGTGATGCGGTTGTATTATAAAGGGGGGAGGATGGACCATGACTTCATATGTTAAAAAGTTACCTATATACATGAATACTTAAAGGAGTGTGAATGCCGTCTGCAAGGTCTTTGTAAGATAGTAGAAAACTTATTGCAGCATTGTTATCAAAAGCATGGCTCGCTTTGTGTTGTGGCTTGTCAGAAAAGGTTTGTGTGGCCTTTTATGACGAGATGCTGAAAGTGCTTGATGCGTGAACCATCCACAACCTTTCCACATCCACGTATGACACCGGCATTTCCATATAACAGGCATGCTTTATCCAGGTCACCTTATTCAAATTTTATAAAACTGTCTGTCAGAACAGATGGTGTCACTTAAGGATAAAAAGCTTAGCCATAGATGTGAAGAAAAGCTGCCTCTTCAAGTGAGGTCTGCTAGCTCGTCTTAGTCTTTATCGCCCCTGTCTTTCCCTGCTTGACAGAGGACTTTTCACAGGTTTGTGGTTGGTGTTTTCAGAGGCCTTTGAATTTTTGGGTAGGTTTGATTTGTTGCTATAGCTCTGGACAGGTGGCAGCTTATCTGTCTATCTCAGTTCACCCATCTGCAAAATGGTGTTTGCCTGGGCCAGAGAAATTAAGATGCACAAAACACATTTGCAAAGACTGGTTTCTAGTATATGCTCAGTGGGTTAAATTGTTCTGACCATGGGCAGGGTGGTGGGTAATATTACTGCCTGGGTCTTTTCTCCCCTTGTTTTATGGCAAACATCACCATCTTCTCTCCTATTTTCCACTCCTCATTAAGGAAGACTCCTGATGACGTCCCTGTCGCTGCTCAGACATCACCCATTTGTGTGTTTCTGTATTGTTTGTTTTAAGTTGGTCTTGGTGTTTCTCTTCAGCCTACAATTTTGGCTCCCTCCCTACCTTTTTGCCTGCTTTCTAGTAGGCAACATACATGTGTTTTCAAAGTCTATTATTGTCTGTTGTCATCTGATTTGGCTGAGAGACTGTTACAAGCTTTGAATAATTTATTATGTTTGTAAGTTTTCTCATTCTTTTTGGTAGCTCAGATTTAGTAGGAGGAAGTGCTGGATATTCAGGGTACTGTTCCTCTTCGAGTTAGCCAAAAATGCAGATTATTAATACATTAATAATACAAGGGAACTTTTCCAGTAAAGTCTATTAAAATTCTGTGTCTAAGCAAAATTATGGATTCTTGAGGTCTATTCAGGGTGATTATTCAGGGCACAAATGCCTTAGTAACACTACAGTGTCATTTTTGTTGACTTTCATTTTTTACCATGGCAAAAAAATATGTTGTGCTTTAACTTGATTAAGTTGTCTCCTTCCTGGATTTCTCTTTTTTATGCTTGTGACTATACAAAAATAAACAGGATGATAATCTCTTAGATGTCACATGGCAGAGCAGTAGCTGTGCTGTGACTGTCTAAGTAATGAATTAACTCAGCCCAGGACAAGAGGTTACTAAATAACCTTTGCCTACTGTAGATGGCAAAGGTTTCTCAGGACTTACAGCCACTTAATGTGAGCCAAAGCCTAAAGAAATTGGTGATGTTTGAATGAAAGTCTCCAAATTCTCATGTCCAGACTATACAATGAGATAGCACAGAAAGTTAGATGTGAGGCATCCTCCTTATCATGGGTAGCAGGAATTTTCTCCAACTAAGGATGGCTTCCCTCTTGTCTTTATCTAGTTTAGAAATACTTTATCTGACTCCTTGTCGTGTGTCCTTAATGGATTGTAGGACTGTACCGGGGGGAGGAAGGGGGCTTCAAAAAAAGGAAGCCCTCAGGAGAGGTTTCTATTTTAAGTTTGAAACTGATTGTGCAGAAATGGCACCTTCCTTTTAAATAAGTATGTTCTGTGAAACTCACTCTATCTTCAATAATTCACAGGCATTGCACTGGTAGTCTTGTTAACCCCACAAAGCTATGGCAGGGTAATTTTCAGGATAGGTATCAACAACACTGATAAGTTTCAAATGAAATGGTAAATTGTGCTTTCACACTGTACTAATCACAGCGTAGACTGGAGGTCAGTACAAACTTACATCATAGCTGACACTGGAAAGAAAAGGGCAGTACACAATTTTTTATTATGGAAAATATTAAGGAAAAAGGAATGCCACAACATAACCTTGTCATTCCTTTGGTCTGGCCTGATTACAGGCTGGGGAGCCTTTAAGAGGCCCACTTGCTGAGCAAAGCTTACCTGATTTTGGAGAGGGTGAACAGAATAATACAGATGGATTTCTACAAGGTTGCTTTTCAGTGAGCATCTGATCCTGCAGGACTGCTTTGAGAAAACAGACTCCCTTCTCTGAACTCTCTTCATTTTTTTACTTTTTGTTTTAATGATAGTGATTGGCCAAACAGGTAAGTACAGTTAGGTATCTTCTCCTGTATTGGGACCTAGAGCCTGATATTCCCATCCTGTGTAGGGAATATTCTGTGCTTCAGAGAGGGTTCCACCAAAATCTGCCCATGGAGTGAAGGACTGCCAGCTCTCTGGTAGTCAGTGGGAAAAATCTGAAGGAAGTCTATTTTAAAAACTTAATCTTCCCAGTTTTAACCATGCCAATGATGCAGATCAGCCATGGGATTCACAAGGTGCTTCTAATTATTAGAATCCAACCTCCTGTGTTTTATTTGGAAATTTTTTTGTGTTTTAAATATAAGGCACCAGCTGGAAATGCATGCTAACATTTTTTTGGCATGAGTTGTAGGTAGCTGACACCATTTTTTACACTTTCTTACCTCAAGAGCCACCTCCTTCGGTTCCCTCGGTCAGACATGCAGTTACAGGGCTGCCCCTGTTCCCAGCAAAGTCAGTGACCTGCTGTCAATACCAATAGCACAGGCAGGTCCTAAGTGCCAGGAGCAGTTAATATTTAACCTTCTTGTGGACTCTGGCTTGGCTTTTCTGTTCCAACCCACTGGGAGTGCCTGCTCGGGGAAGAAATTTGGTATCAAAACACCACTGAAAGTCTCCCCTCACCAGAGGATCTGACTCTTTTCTCGCACAATCTCTGTAGATGCTGGAGAGACATCCAGAGCTGACAGGACTTCTGAGTGTGGAAATATCCCAAAATGGCACGTACTCTAACCTTCACTGTGGAATAAAGGTTTTTCAACCTGTGACTTTTTATAAGGCTGCCTGTGCTATACCTGCATCTGGCTTTGGCAGTGAGGACAGGCTGATGCAGACAAGCTGGAGTTTGATGTATCAGCATGTAAAAAGCCATTCAGAGGATGCACATGAGGATGGGCACTGGCACTGGTAAGATTCAGGCAATCCTCTTTCATGCCTATACCAGGATTTTGTATCTCTACCACTATTGGGATAGAAAGATGTAGGGTAGGAAGTTCCTTTGCCTATCTGCTGCTAGGGTTGCTAAAAATTTCCTAGGGCAACGTGGAGAGGCCCAAGGCTTTTAGTGTTAACCATGCTCAGCACTCAGATGTGAACCATGAAGCACCACGGCAATGACCAGATGTGCTGCCTCTGTCCCTGTCAGCACAAAGCCGCTGTGAAGGGAAGCTGAAGATGTTTGAGGATGCATTTTAACCCAGCTTTGCAGGTTTATTGGTTACTTTTTACAGGGGTGGGGATGAAGGCAAGGTGTAAATTGAGACCAAACTTTCCATTAGGCTAAATCAGCTGTGTTAAAATGGATTTGAATGACAGCAGAAATGGGCAGATCCTGCCAAGAAGATTTTGACACTCGTACCATGCTGCAAATGTGCCAAGCATGTGGCAGAAATATGCAAAAAGTTCATTATAATACAAGTGGTGTCATCTGCTGCCTGGTGCCCTTGCATTGCTGTGTTCCTTAGCTGCCTCATTAGGTGGGGAGTAGGCCTGATTACTGACTTGTTTGTCAAGTGACAAGTCAGGCTAATTAGTTGTGTGGGCAGAGGATTGGTTTCAAGCTCATCAGGAGGGCATCCTCATCCTTTCCTCAATCATATGCATCCTGCAGCGGGGTTTGGCACAGGAGTTTGTTAGTGGGTTCTTCTTTTCTAGAGCTTATGGACAGAAAATTTGGGCTAAATGGGGCACAGAGAGAATCTTTTTTTAGCCTGTCACACTGGAGCCGTGAATTGCAGCAGCGCAACTGGCACTTTTGCAGGGCGTAAGGAACGCTTCCTTGTCACCCTGCAGGGTATGTGGCGGGAGTGGGCGTGCAGTGATAATCGAGTCACCGAGTGAAGTGGCAGGCCTGTGTGGCTGATTTACAAATACCAGTGTTCTTTATTTACACAGACATGTAAACAACAGAAGGTAAACAACACCGCCCAGCTCGGTCTAACAAACAGGCTGCTGCTGTTTCACTTCAGGACCTGAGGTGTTTTAGACATTTCACAGAAACTGTATTGACAGCAAACACAGGAAGGCTACGAGGTTACCTTGACTCTTTCTCCTCTGCACGGGAATCGCATGCACGGTGCGGCAGCATGGGGGAATGGCACCACCTGAGGCTGCAAAACAAGGGTATGCAAAGAACCCACTCAGAGCTCGCCTTAAGTTCGCGTCTGGCCAGAGTCAGCAGTATTTGTGAGCAGTACCACTGCAACCAGTCTGTCCTCTGACAGCACTTTCCACCCAGAGATCTGAAAGCACTCTGTGAACAGACCGATCAATCTTCGTTGCCTCCTTTGCAAATCATCCCGTTTATAAACAAGGAAATAAAGGGAGGGCCTTCAAAGAGTGGCTTTCCCAGAGCTCAGGTTTTGCTGGTCTCGTTTCCCAACCTTGTGCTTTAAGTATAGCACCATTCTTTCTTCACAGAAGTTTATTGCTTCTTGACATTTTAGGGCACGCTTTTGAATTCAAAGAAATGCCCCAAGCACTGGAGGTAGAAGGGCAGTGGACGGTCCCAGTCATGACCAGAAGCTGCTCTGCTCCAAAGCTGCCCCTGCTGAAAGAGGAGCCAGCTGCTGTGCGATACATTGCACCCAATCCCAAGCTTTTTCAAGTTTTTCTGAAAACGGAACTAAGGGAAACATTAGCTGCAAAAGAAAAACTATTCAAAACCAACAGTGCTGATGTGCTGTCTTTCAGATTTAACTGCAACAGTAACCCATACACACACTGTGTTTCAGTTCGTTGACATACTTCTAACAGAAATGTTACACTAAATTTGTAAGACAGAAAAATACCTAGTGGAGAAATGAAGAGTTCAGGAAGTTTGCTGCTTTGTGCCAAAGAACAAATTTCCTTACAGTTTTAGCAGCAAAAGAATGAGCTAGGGCTTGAACAGCATTGAATTCTCAGCTGTAAATTCTGTAAATTCACATTTTGGTTACACACACACTTCCTAAATAAATAAATAAAAAAATTAAAATAACTTCTCCAGATTAACTGGTATTGGATATGGTGTTTGGTTCTGATTTTTTGGCTTGATTTCTTTTTTTTTTCCTTTTTTCTTTTCTTTTTTTTTTTTTTTTTTTTTTTTTTTTTTTTTTTTTTTTTTCCTGTTGTGGAGTGATAACCATGGCTTGAACCCAAAACCAGTTTCAGCCTTTCTACCTGTTTTCTAACATGAATTGCAAGTTCAATGGGCTCAGCTTGTATGCTAGATCAAATTCAAGCCTGTGAGAATTGCTGCTAAAAAAGCAGCTGGGAAGTTGTGTTTGAGCACAGTATTTAAATACTCAGCTGCCTTCTCTCATGCACATTATGCAGCAAGAAGTTTAACTTCTATCCTTCCAGATAGAACTACAGCCCTATCTTCAGCTATCACAGGAAAGGAGATGAATCAACACAACCATAAGATACACCATTTACAGCTGCCAGTACAGCAGCAGGTAAGATAAAGACAGAAAAAGAGGGCTGTTTTTCTTAAATAGTCATTCCTGCAATCCTTTCAAACCCCCAGGTGAAAAGGAAACCTAAGAAATTCTCCTTAAATAAAAGCTATGTACAAATTGCACACATTGCAAATGGAGCACTGAGATCAGTTACAGAAAATAAGATGTACAGTCTTCACTGATAACATCTCTCTTGCTATAAACAGTGATAAACAGCATATGCTTTCTTCAGATGTCAGAACCCAGCAAGACAGCAATATTATGTACACAGGGCTTGTTTGCCTTCTGCCTCCCACAGCAGAGTCCTCCAAACTCTGTTTTCACTTCAGAAAGCTGTGCGGTGATGTTCCGGCGCACCGTGCCGCTCCTGCTCGGCAAATCACAAGAGAGCTGTCATTGCTGTCTGGCTTATGGGCTTTAGGCAGTCTCTGGGCGTGGAGTAACCCTCGCCCCCCAGAGCAGTTTGCTGGGGCTTCTGGTAGTCTGTGCTGTAGCTCACGGAGGTCAGAACACCATTAACTTTGGGTTTGTCGTAGTTTATGACACTCTGGGGTGTCTGATAGTCTCCGTTCCTGGTGTCGGTTTTACAGGAGCTGGAGAAGCTGCCAGTGGTAAGGGAATGTATCTGAGATGAGGCGACAGGAATGTTGTAGCCGTTCTCAGGGGGGAAATTATTTTCTCTTGCTATGTGCCGCTCTATGATGGGGGTGGCGTACTCGGGCTCTTGGCTGGTCAGGGGCAGAGCATATTCATGCCTGTTAGCTCTGTGAGGGCAGTGATAGTGATTTTCAAACTCAGAACTCCCCCTTCTTCCCTCCTCTTTGGTGTCCATGGGGCGAAAAGTAGATCCTTTACGTGTTACCGTCCCAGTTCCGATCATGAGAGGCTGCTGATAATCTAAAAGGAAGCATGAAATGCTCAATAAGGCATAGATTGGTTATCTTATGTATATAGTACTTATGCATAGATAGGTATTTTTTGTTGAAAAACTACTCTGTGATTGTATCGAAAGTGTGGTTACTGGGGATGTGAGGAAACCTTTTCCCAGGAGTGATCCTGTAACTTCCTTCAGCGAGCAAGAGTTGCAGAAGATCGCAGAAGATCTTCCACAGAGAAGCTCCAATCTGCCACCTCTTTTTCTACTCCCTCCCTCCCTTTTCCTACCTACCCTCCCCAAATAAATTAACATGTCTGAAGTATACTTGAAAGCCCTAAAAAAGAGTGAGGTCAACAAAATATTAGCACCAAACTGGACAAAGGACATTGCATGAAGATCCACAAGCAAGAAGTTCTCCAAAATGAGTGTTCCACTTTTGGAACAATTAAAATGCCCAGAGGATTCTTAACGAGCCGGCTTTATTTAAAAGGCATCTCACAGCAGCTGACTGACAAGAAGGATGAAGTTAGGCAAAACGGCAGCCAAGAGAGTCAATGGAAGTGTGAAATGTGCTAAGCCAGCTCAGCACGGCTGCAGGCATGCCAAGGGGGACGAGCTTGGGGGGAGAAGCAGGAATGGTGCTGCTGGAGGGACTGGGCAGTCACCCAGTCAAGGGGGATGGCAGGGATACAGCTGGCCTAAGGCAAACGGCCTGAGCAGGAGCAAGGAGCAGGATGGAGGAAACACGGCCTCAAGAAGCACATGTTTGCACCTCCAGCTAAGGTAGGTGCCAGGCTGCCGTGTGAGGAGATCTGAACGAGAAGGTTTTCTGAAAAAAACAAGCAGTACTATTATGAGGAAAGTGAATGTTCTAACTTTCTCGCTTTGGCGCTGGTGACAATCTCTTACAGATACCAAGGGTGGCCTGAACAGCTCTAGTAAATGACACTGCTAAAGTATCGTGTTTTCAGGCAGGCGTGAAGAAGTTAGCTCGGTTTCTGTTCTGGCATCGCGGTTCATCTGACATGAGCGTCGAATTCGATCCCATATGTCCTGTGAATCTTTTTGGCAGTTTCTGGCTGTGTCCCAAACTTCAGCATGTAGGGTGAAGGTGTTATGATATTTCTCTAAGTAAGTAGTGCAGCGCTCCCCAGCATCGCTGCCGCCATCCTCAGAAATCTCGCTCAGGATGGAGCATCGCGGCTTCCTCCTGGCTGCCTTTGGGAACCAGCAGGCAGCTGGGGGTCTGAAGTGAGGGAATTCCATGTAGCATGATAACCTATATGCAAACTGAGTGCTCCCTGCAATTAAATTATTAAATGGCACATTTCTAGGTTGCATTCTTATTTCATGGTTTTTTAATTTTAAGGAGACTGCAGGTGAAATGCTAAGGCTGGGAATATGCCTGAGCCAGGCTGAGAGTTCAAACTTCCCACAAACACAGCAGGAGGGGATGGTGGAGAGAGCAAAGATTCCCCAGACATGGCCAGGGTAACAAAAAAACATATTTTGTGAGCAACCTTTATTCATTCTCTTTCCTTAAAGCTGCTTTATAGGTCTCTGCATATTTATATTGAAAGTTTCTATAAAGGATTGAAACTGTCTTTGAAAGATATTGAGAGAAGCACCATATGGAATTGCAGTAACCATCCATTTGTTTTTAAAATGTATTTCTCTGCCAAACACAATGAAGAAATTCTAAGGAATTTCTAAGGTCTGGAGGCTAAAGACAGGAAACTAATCTTCCTTCAAGATTGCTGATCACTGATCCCATGAAATGGCTGGTCTCACTAGCCTTACCAGACAGACTGGACTAGGCAGGGATAAGATGTGCTAAGAGGACTTAAAAAATCATCCCTTTGGGATGCAAATAGTACTGATGCTCTTTTATTGGGATTTGCTCTATCTAAACCTGGAGCCAAGGTAGCACAGGAGGAAGTGCTATGGTCAGCTTACTTCCTCCCTGCCTCCTCTTCAGGAAGCCTCATCTCCCAGATAGTTCAGGAAAGCTGCACAGGGATCTGAGCACAACTTCCATCTAGGCATGAAATCCCACCTTAAACCAACTAAGTAATTTTTTTATTTGATCAGCAGCAAGGGGCATAATATTTTGTTCCATTTCCAGAGACACTCGTGTTTAAATAGAAACACAAAAATTAGTCAGCAAAGGGAAGCAATCCTACCCTAGGCACATTCTTGCACTTCATCCATGCCTGAGTGCCTTCCATCATTACCTTCAGCTGCAACTATTTCAGAGTCAGGAAAGTTTTCCAACAACTCCACAAAAACAAAATTTCAAAACAGTGGGTCTTTCCCTCCCTAATATATTTAGCTGCTTCACTATACATTTGGGATGAACATAAATAAATCTATTCCTGGGCCTCAGTTTTCATAAGAGCTGAAGCTTGTCACATTGCTGGGCCATCCCTCTCCCTGTTACTGGCTGTGCACTCAGAGCAAAAGGGAGGCATCTGAAGGGGAGCAGCTCTTACCTGCCATGTCACTGGTGACCAGATCCAGCTTTTGTGGTGTCTCCTTCTCGTTATTGTAGCTGATGGTAAATTCAGTTGACTGATGTCTGGTAAAGGGCTGCTTGATTTGTTTCCAACAACCTGTGAAAAAGAAATTAAAATAGAAGGCTTATCAGCCAGTTAAATGCTTAGAATCAGAAGACTTACCAGTAAGTTTAATTTTCAGTATACTCATTGCTGTCAATATATTGAAATAGTTGAAAAACATGACTAAAATGGGCTGTTTGTTTAAAAAAAGCCCCCTAAATATGGAGGGTGAAGGAAGAAGTGAATCATCAACAGGGATTTCCAAGTTTATATAAGATTTTTTGGCAAGAAGGGCTCAAACTCTGTAGGTTCCTACAGTGATGCCTTAACAAAGTATATTGATAAAATACCAACTTTAAGTCAGTTATGTTTTGGCATTGAATATGTGGTAAAAATAATACTTAAAATTTCTCCTTTTGCAGTAGATTGTGGCTTCAGTAGATTGTGGCTTTCAGTAGTGTGGCTTCAGATTCATTGGTATCTGAGCACCTGCACTCATCAATTAGCTTGTTCTCACAACATTCTTGTAAGACAGAAAAGAAAAGATCCCCAGTGTCAGGGACTTGCTGGAGCCTGCACCAGGAGGTCTGGGGAGAGGTGAGTTTGACTCACAGCTTTGTAAGCCCCAAGCCTGGTTCACAAAGGCTTAGAAGCTTGATTTATGAAGCAGACATACAACAAATGAACTGACTGGGTAAGAGGCTATCTCCAATTTCTTGGGATTTGTCCTCATTAGCAAGTGAGAAAGGATTATGATGTGACCTTGAAAAATCATATTAGCAAATATGATGTTAAGTACAAATTAATTTTCTAATGAGGGCGAGCTGCAGTGGGTAACAGCATTCCTTTCACTGACGTCAGCACCTACCGAGGGATGAAATTTTGGAGCTGAGCTATTGCAAGAGACTTGTCAAGAGACATATGAAGTGCTCAGTGGTTTGGGTTTTTTATGGAAAGCCGAGTTTCAGAAGGATATTCCTCTACAGACCTGGCTGGACAGGAAAAACACCCCAACTGCCAGGTTGATGGGAACTCCACTCTAGAAAACATTATCAAGCAAGACAAAGAAACTACTTCATCGGGATTTTGTAGTCATCTCCTAAAGCAGTGAGCTCAAGCCAATCCCTCATTCAATACAGTTCACTGTTGTTAGGCTTTATAAATACAGTTTCAGCTAGGGAGGGCAGTGAGAAGAAAATATTAAAGCCATAAAAAATTATTATCCCTTGCTCTCTTAGAGAAAGGCAATCCCCTCTGCTGTGAGGAAAAGAAAAGAAAAGCAGTAATTTTCTGCAAAATAGGTATTTTGGAAGTGGGAAGGAAAAGGAGGGCACCTGGGAGCACTCTTACATGCTAATTTATACTACACTCTGTATAATAGATCTTTTGTTAATTGCCTTTCTGTCATAGAAACCAAATTATATTGTTTCTCAGGGCACTGTGCTAGGATGACACAAGTGGGACTATCATTTGCTGTTTCCCTTGTATGAAGAGGTGAATTTGAATGAGGAAATGTGGATGCTATTTCAGAAGCATTAAATGCTTAGTTGCATAAACCCCTTCCTGCTGGCCCAGTGGCCAGGACAGGACAAAGTGCAGGATTCTCCACTAACCTGATTTCTGAGTACTGGATAATCCATAGGAAAGTCCTTTGGCTTCTCGCCTGCGAGGAGAGGAAAGGGTTCACAAACATCAGTACTAACAGCATTTCACCTTCATGCCTTAGCTCCAGCAGAGCCTTTTTATTTAGTTGCTGGGGACAAGGCTTCACTTCAAGTTCCTGGAGGCTGTTGTTTACTGGAACATCAGGCATGCAAACCAGCACTTTGACATTTTCTTTTTCTCCATCTATGCACAAGTTATGAGTGCTGGTGTTCAAATTTCCAGGGCTGGCACTCATCAGTTTGATGTGTCTATGTCTAGATGTGTCACTCTGGGCTGTGTTTGGGTCTGCTCTTCTGAATTCCTTGGCTACTTTATAGATTTACTGGGAATCCAGGGCAGAGCTGAGTATCACTGGTGACGAAGCAGCACCACCAGAGTATTGCTTACACTTCCAAATCCCCATCTGCTGACAGAAGCATTTCCTGGTTCGACATGCAAGTGCAGGTTCATAGGAATGGGCATCTAGCAGGAAGCACAGCTGGCAGTGATTCTTCCAGTCCTCAGTCTTGTGAGATGAAATAGCTTAAGACTTAGCTGCTTACACCAGTGCATGTGTGTGATTCCACAGAGCTGAACTCTGCTTCCAGCCTGCTAGGTTAAGTGCTCTAACTTAAGGGACTGGGAAGCAGAAACACAACAGAAGGAAAATAAAGAAAATTATCCAGATAGATAGCTCAAATCTTCCTTCCCTTCACTGAATTTTTATTTGGCTTTGGTGTGGCAATTATCCTGTCTTTGACTGCTTTACACCTCAGTGCTTGTGGGTATACGTAGGGTGAACAGTTGGTTATGCACAGTTCTGACCTGCTTTACCTTCATTTTTCTCTGACTAGGGGAGGCATACAGCAAGAAATACAATTTACAGAGACAACTGAGTTCTACTTAGAAGAAAGACTGACAAACAGGATCAATTCCCAGCTCCCTGGTAAGGAGGCTCTGGAAAGAGGGCAGAGTTGGACATGCTATCTAGGTACCCACAAATGCCTCCTTTGACAAAAATCAGTATCTTACTTGCGTAGGGCTGCGCAGATACAAATTCCAGAGAACAAGAACAGAAACAGCACAATGAAGATGGGGACAATTATAGCTGTAAGCTTTAAACCTGTATGAGAAAAAAGAAGGGATAAAAGTTTAAAAGGTAAATTACTCTAAAGTTGGCAATTTTTACTACAGCGAAAGGTGGGTAATGCTGCAGGAATGCTTCTTGAAGAGAGCATGAAAATGTATAACTGTAAAACTAAAAGACAATCCTCAGCCATGGTAAGATGCCATGTAGCTGTGTGGAACAATGTTGAAACAAAATAGTTGAATATACTTTCTCAAGGGTTACGCTTGACTTGGCATCTATATGCATCCTTACAAAGAGCAGTTCTTTCTTATTACACACTAGATGACTTTTAAAAAGTCACTCATACACACTCTGTTTCCAGTTGCTTATAAATCTGCCAAAGGATACTGCAATTTTACATGCCAAGTAGCTGGCTCATGCTGAACTGGATGAAACATTTCAGTCAAAACGGTTCAAAGATTTCCATGAGGGAACCTAGGGAAAAACCTGTTTAGCCACTGTTAAATCCTAACACAACATGCTTTAGAGCAGGGATTTGAAAATTAGCAGTGGAGTGGCTCTTGTGTCAGGAGAGTGCCATTCCCTGTTTCTACAGACACTTCCCAGCTGTGAGAATAAGGCACTAGAAGTGTCCACAGGGTATTTACAATTTAGCAGATGAAATCTCAGTAGATTTCATTTTCAGTGAATGTGGATATGGTTTACTCATACTGCTGCACAGATGAACTGAGCTTGCTTGCTCTTGGCAAGCAGTTTCAGAGGGTTTTTTTTTTTTCACTGATTGCTTCTTACAACTAGTTTTTTCACAGAGGTATTTCTACAACTCTCAGCTACCTAATGGGTAGTAGCATTTGGTACAGTGGGTCTGGCAATTTCTGCCTGGCTAGGAGCCCACCAAACAGTCAGTATAAGCACCAAATTTTGTTTGTTTGCTTTTTAAAGTCTAAGAAGTTAGCTCTGCAACATTAAAGGATGAAGGCTGCAAATTCAGGGAGAATCACACAAATTAAGCTTGTCTGAGCCCCCATAAATATAGGCATTATGGAAGAGTGTTTTAATTACACAATCAGGCACAACTGTATGTGCTTTCAGCTGGAAACTTGCTCTGGAAGGAGTCATGGTTGTGTGGAGAGAAGATAACACTTTAGAGAGACAACTGCTTCACATGCTAAAAAATTCTAAAATACAGGATGAGCGATGAAGAACTCTCCCAAAAATTGCTACTGAGTGCTCACTGTATTCCCTTGAGCCACCCACCAAGCATGGCAAATCAACCAATATGACAGGGAAACCAAAGCCCAATGTTTAACACATCAAGGAAAATTAAGGCTTTCAATCTCTTTCTGTGCCTTAAAACAAAAAGAACCTATTGCTCCTCCCTCTTCTCTCTGTCATTATTAAAGTCTGAAGGAAAAATAAAAGTTTTGATTTGTGAGAAAGTTTAAAGTTCACTCAGACTGGGCTGAAGACATGATGAATCCTAGAGAAAATGCAGTGCTAGGTAGTGTTACCCAAGCTAGTTTCTTCGGAGGGGATGGGCTCTGTAACAGTCCTGTCTTCTTTTCCAAGGGAGGTTTCTGTGCTCTGACTCGGTTTCTGCCACATGGAATGCGTGAATGAACTGTTGGCTGCAAGAGAGAAGGGGGCATCAGTGGCACTGGGCACCACAGGGGGCTTTAGAGGCACCGTGCACTGCGTGCCCATACCTGGCATTATCCGGCAGCCCATCAGCTCCAGCTTCAGTGCTATTCTTTGGTTCCAGGTCTGAGGGACAATCCGCACGTAACGGGCCACGATCGGAGGGATGAAGTTATTGCGCACTACGTCACCGAAGTTGGAGTTGCCTTGGAACACCTGCAACGAAAGGTGCACACGTTGTCTGCCCTGCTTTAAACTCTCTTTCTTCAACGTGTTCCTGACATCCAACTTCAAAGATTTTCATCCTAAGACTAACACACTGATAACCTGGGATTCAGCCACAAGATTTTAGGAATTGAGAGTTCTGGAAAGAAATAATCTTTTTAGTTGTGCCAGATGATCACATTTTTCTGTTAGCTCAGAGGACAAAGATTATCACCGTTTCAATACTGTGTAATTCCCACTTAATGTATGCTGATATAATGCTATCATTTTTTTATTTAAGAGCATTGCAGCACCCTTTCTTGGAAATAGTGAATAGAAACATAAAAAGGAAAAACTTGAAGTGAATCATTTCTAGACATTTTAGTAAAATGGTCAGTTTTCTATATCAAGCTTGAAGAATGACTATTAACTACATAGTTGTTACTGCATTTATATATTATTACCCAGAATCAGCTCAACCCCTTGTGCAGAACAATCATCCTTGCAGTATTAGTTCTTGGAGATGCTTCAGCCTGACCTAGGAAAACTTAAAACCCTGATGAGACAGAGAAGTGAGCTCAGTATGTCTTAGATAAAATGCCAGGCCATATAGGGTTCTGATGGGACAGGTTCTGTTATGCACCTTAGCTGAAACTAAGATTGTATGTAATACTTTCAAAGGATATTTGTATATAACAAGTCACTGTGGGAAACTGCAAGCCTGCATATTTTAAATAGCTAAACCTTTGCAGTTCACCCACTCCTAGGCTGATTTGTCACTCTTTGGGCCAGCATCCCCTCAGTTTAACATTTAAAAAAATATTAACACCATTAATGTTGGAAATTCCTTGCCACGCAAGCCAAGAAAAGCAGAGCTAGCAGGAAAACTCTCTTCAGCTCTGCCAAGTTTTCAAAAATTGCCATCAGCCCTGAGGATGGTAGAGCCTTCTCCTGAGGCAAGCTGAGATCCCTCAGGACTGATGAGTGGAGGTCTGACTTTGAACACTGTAGGGACAGGGAGGAAGGCTTTTGGGATTTCTTTTGTTTGAAAGAAACCACGAAGTTTTCAGGGGAAAATGTTTCCAGACAAACTCCACCAGCAGCTCTGCCCTTCACCCGAGGGGTTGTTTCATTTGGCGGGGGGAGGTGGACTGACCATCTGAATGCTTTTGGAGCTGACCCTCAGCTTTGCTGGTGCCATACCAACAACAGCATCCCTGGCAGGGGCAAACACTGAGCTGAGCTAAGGACTTGTCCCAACAGCTGCTGTACAGCTCCAATTACAACACTTTTTTTAAAAAAGGGTGCAGACATACACATGCCTCCCTGTGTGTGTCCCACAGCTTCACCAATCCCTGGATAACTTCCTTGTTTCGACAAGCTCACTATCTACTCCATAGCCATAAATTACACAGGTGAAGACAGCCCAAGTCTAGACAAGTTTGAAACTCCTAATCATTCTTGACAGTGAAAGCCTGCCCTTCAATGTCAAGACAGCATAGGCATTATTGTTTTGTGTTTTCCTACCCTTCCCACTTTCCCTTACCTTTTCTTCATTGCTCAGAATCCCTTTGTAAGTTCTCCATTTTGAATTGTTATTTTTATAGTTCATTGTAAATGTCTTCACATAAAAGTTGAAATTCACGGATCCAGAACCAGTGGTCTTAATCCCTTTTAAGAAAATGCAAGAAATATTTTCATTTGCTATGTGCCTGTTTCAAGGGAACATTTCCAAATGCCAACACAGAAGCCAAAACAATTTGGAAAACTTGGTCTTCAAGGTGTTAGTTTATTTTTCAAACTGTGTTGAAATTGAGTTTAAAATTTGGGTGAAGAATAGAAATCTGTTTTAAATTGTGAACTTAGACCAATGGATATTTTTAACAGAGCACAAAAGGCTCAGGGAGCTGGGGCAGTTCAGCCCTGAGGAGAGATGACTGAGGAGTCCTCATCAATGACCATCAGTACCTGAAAGTAGGGAGGGTGCCAAGAGGATGGAGCCAGGCTCTGCTCAGTGGTGCCAAGCAACTGGACAAGAGGTCATGGGCAGAATCTGGGAATGGGCAGAATGGAAAGGCCCACCTGAACACGAGGAAGAACTTCTTTACTGTGCAGGTGGCCAAGCACTGGAACAGGGTGCCCAAAGTGGTTGTGGAGGCTCTCTCACTGGAGATATCCAAGAAATACCTGGATGCAATCCTGGGCTGTGTGCTCTAGGATTGCCCTGCTTGAGGCTGGACCACATGACCCACTGTGGTGCCTTCCAGTTTTACTCATTCTGTGATTCTGTGACTCCAAAATGAATAGTGCTTTTTGATATTATGGTCTGTATCGGCCATCTTTACATCTTTAGCAGCAACTGTAATTTACATTTTTGCAACTAAACCAGGAGATGGAAACAGGAATATCTTTCACCTAGGCCTTGTTTCAAAGGCTGTGACTTTCATGTTTCTTACTGATTCCAGGTCATCTACCTAGACTCTACTGCTCCCTGTGTATTTTGTTCTGTCTGCATCTTTACCGATCAGATATGCACAGCTGAGTTCAATCCTGTATCCTTGTAGGAAGACCAGTCTTGTAAACAGTTTCTTGTTTTAAACAGGAAAATAATATTCCTGAGTGCAGAACATTTCATTACATTTAACAAAAGAAACGTTGCATCAGTGCACTACAGCTCTTCAGCTGCATTCAGTTTCCTCTCCAGCTGAAAGAGTCTAAAAACCAGAGAGCAACGTACCCGTTATTCTCTTCTTCTCTCCCAGGTCTATCTCCAGCCATTCGCGGGTGCTGCTGTGGTTAGAGGCCCAAGACCATCCCGGGACTTGTAGCCAAGCCTTGTCTGGGGACCACAGGAGTAGTTGCCCAAACTCATTGGTCTCCTCCCAGTAGGAAGATGCAGTAACCTGGCTCTTGGAGAGGAATCCCTCTTCCAGACTGAGAGATTTGTTGCAGCCTAGGAGTCCCCACACAGACAGGCAGAAGGAGTTATTTTGCATTTTCACAGGATATTTTTATATTAGGCTAGCAACATTTGAAGACCACCCACAACAGCAAAGTCAGACATTGCTGAATCTAGTGCTAGCCTGATGCTCTCCATTAGCTGTGGTGTTTACCAGTCAATTTGTAGTGTATGATCCAGTACCAGTGTGCTGCAGTCCCAATCCTTTACCAGTCTAACTCCTACATACATGACACCTTCTGACTACGTCTGCTATTTTTGCCATTTAGTTTTTTAATCTCTGCACTTTTGTCTCATTCCTGTGAAGACATTTTTTATTTTTAAATTTTTCCTTCTGAAACATAATATTTATGTTTTGAGATTGGCATTAACTAATTCTGCTGTACAAAACATATCACAGATGAAGGCACTGTACTGAGAGGAATACTTTACTGTAAATATTTCATGATTCCCACCTGCAATTAGGGCTAGGAAAGTTACTCATTAGAGAAGCTCCTTGATACTGCTGCCAAGATGTGATATCATGAAGATCATATCTGTGGGTAAGCACTACAAACTCCACCAAAGAACCCACAAAATCTCTGCACATCAAGGTTCTTCAGAGAAAACAGGCCAGTGGAATATGGTTCAATGAAGTTAAAAATAATTCCTTGGCAGAGTCAAAGGCCTATACATGCTCTACAGTTTTCAGTAGAATAGTAAATGATTTTATCTCAAATGAGTGAAATATAATTCAAATGAACGAATGCAAACTTTCCCCCCTCTTTGCTGTGTTTTATGGAAATGAATGGCTTGACAGATTAAAAGAGGGTTTTGCATCGTGGAAAGCCATAAACAAAAATGCCTTCTGTATCAGTGCAATATAAATACATTTTCATTTCTCCTATGTTTTCTTTCTCTGCTTGTATGATGAAGATGGAAATTACAAATGTCTGAAGAAAAACTGCTTTCATTTTCTGTGGCCTAAAGTACATAAAAATGGGATTATCTGATTGTCATTTTTCATATGCTGGCACCAGAAATGTAACAGCAGAATACTATTTCTGTTTCTCATCTATGTGCGTATGACCGCACATATTCTGTGGGGTTTTTTTCTAGCTCACTTCAGATCCCTTCAATTTTTTTATTCACTTGCCAATTTTAAAAAACTGTTATCCTAAAATATCCTCCTAGACACAGCCTGACATTCTCCTGATTATTTTTTAAAACTTTTACAGAAAATATTTAAATAGCTAAAAACAAAACAATTTTTCTTACCATTGGAAGTAAATGTAAATCGCTTATCTGACAGAGAACCACTGTAAGAAAAGAAAAAGGTAATTCAGCCTCTCATGAGGTGGTCACAGGAGTGCTGAGGTAGAGCTGCAGAATCACTGTTTATCCAGTAAAATATCTCTGGCCAGACAGCCACTTTCTCTGCCAGCTGGATACTGACCCCCTTAAGAGCACTCAAGTGCGTCTCTCACTGTGACTTCGTTCAGGTAATTTTTAAATGGTTTTGAGCATTTTTTAAAGCTTTAGAGTGATTTCCCATTGCATCACCCTGTTACTCTGGCTGCTTGTGAAAGAGTTACACTTGATGAAGACTAAACCACACTAGCTCTGGCCATTCCTGCTTGGGCTACAGGTGTGTCATAGGATGAAAGTGGGATGAAAACTCTTTGTTTTAATCTGGGTGGAAACTAGCTCTGTTATAACCATGGCCAGCATCTCCCATCAGGAATGGTTCTTTATGCTCCATTAACCACATCTATGGATCCCTTTTTCTTCCTCCTTTTGACATGGACTGTTTTGCTTCAGGGGAAAAGCCATTCCTTGGGCCACTCCACACAGCCCTGCACAATGCAGTACAAGATAAAATCACCACTCTGAGGGAAAGCTGAGTTTTCCTTGGCCTCTCAGGGAGCTGCTTTCTAATTGCCAAAGAGATGCCCCTGAGGTTTCATTCCAGAAGCAATGACTCCAACTGGCTGCCTTATAAAAAGAAAAGCCAGGGTTTTAATATGAAATTAGTTTGGATTTCTTGAAAATCTGCCCCCTCCACTGTCACTTCAATTAGCTCCATGCATCACTGGTCCCTTTTGAAAAGCCTTGGCTAGCGTGACTAAGCAGTAAAACAACTTCTGCACTAAGCATGGAGACAGTTCCCTTTTAGGCTCCCCTTTCTTTGGTTTTGGCCAGGAAAATTTCCCCCAAGCTACTGTCTCCAGCCTTACCAGGGTGTTATATATTTTGCAGGGCTATATGTTTTGAATGCACTGCAAATGGGGAACAAGGAAGTAGACCCATGTCAAGGTCAATAAAAACACTGCCTTTTTTTGTCACCGAGGGAAAACTAATGACTACAGGCAAAAGAAGCCCTTCAGAGCTCTAGGTGGGAGCTGATTTATTTGGGCATGTAGGCAGCTGAGTAGCTAGAAGGGGAAACACAAGCCCTCCCTCCCACATCTTCCCCACAGGCAATCCTTAGGGGCAATCAGATGCACTCTGCTCACTTCAAACCAGTTCACATCACAGCCAAAATAGTTGTTGATTTTTTAGTGAATGCAAAGCAATTCATTTCAAGAGAAAAGAAGAAAATAAATACCTAGGTAATCAGTAAAACCTACCCAAAACAGCATCACAGTGCTCCTTGCATACTTATAATGAAAAAAAGTCAACCAGAACCCTTTCAAATAGAGGACTGCAAATTTAGCAAATAGAGGAGGTTAGCATTTCTAAGGTCCACAAAGCTATGAAATCAAGCTGATAAATTTCTACTGTAATTCACTAAAGAGAACAAGCCAATTCAGTAAGTGGTAATTCATCAGTTTCCTAATGTGTCTGCTGGAATTTTGTCACACAGGTACCACTTTGTCCTCTAAGGGAGGGTATCACTCCATGTTCCTCATTTGCCTGACAAACTTCAGGATCCCGCCTTTCATTTTTTTTGCCAGAGCTGGTCTCAAGCAAGCTTCTCCTAAGCAGTGCAGGTTAACCCCAGATTTCATCTTTCACTGTTGACAAGCACACGGTCTCCTGCATTTTCAAAGGCAAACGATTCCACATGTGCAGACGTATAGTCACAGGCCAGGCCATGTTACAGCACCCTCCCTGTGTATTTGCACTGGGCTATCAGATCTGCCCAATAAATCCAGCCACTCGGGCTCCATTACAGCATCTGGGGGTGCAGGTCTGCACATGGGTCATGGGAAGTGAAAACCTCACACATGCTGGAGCCCAACAAACACACTGAGAGATGGAGCGGGGAGGCCAAGGTCAGCCCTTGCAGAGTGCTGGGTGAGCAAGACATAACTCCATGTTAACAACACAACACTAAACAGCTCGATGCACTCCAGCAGCAGCTTTTGATGAGGTCAATTTCGGCTAAAGTCCCTAAATAATTTGAACCCTTAATACTGAAATCCATTATAAATGAGATTTTAAAAGCTTGAGCAAGCTCTTATTTAAGGGCATCCAAAAAGCTCTTAAGGCACTGCTGCTCAAGCACCAATTTTTTCTTGCTGGCACTGGCTCATCTCCAGGATTTTCTTTCAGTGTGTAGGTACTGCAGAATAGGGACGCCATGCAGCTCTGTAGATACCTCTTATAAAAGATTTTTTAAAGTACAAAATGCATTGCTCTATTTTCTTAATAAACAGGCCTACTGCTTCTAGGAGCCCTTTTTCATGTTTTGAAACAACAGCATTTCTCAACATCCTCCAATTTCCCTCTCCTGGGCTCACACCAACATTTCATCTGTTCTAGAGACTGTCCCAGCTGCCAGGTGTGGCAGAAACATCCTAGGAAGCTCTGTGCTGACACTCCCATTTCTCAAACTCTGTGCCCTCTAGTTTGTAGGCAGTGAGCCTGTGGCTTCCTGCAGAAAGCTACTGTTGTCTCCTCGGGGCAATTCTGTCCCTTGGAGATGTGCATCATGCTGGAGGAGTGCCTCTGTCTGCCCCGAGAGGCAGGAGAGCTACAGGGGCTCTGCTCCTCCTTAGGGTGCTAGCTCAGGGGCCTCACATTAAATGGGATAAAGCCCCCAGCACATGCACACTTGCAGAATTACACACTTCATTCTTTGCCCACTGGCTCTTGTACTAGGAAAAAAAAATACAAATGGGAATCACAACTGCCTTTCATTATAAAATTTTATGTGCTACTGTCCAAATTGCTGCACTGGGATTATCAAGGGTCACAAGCATATGAATGTATGTGAACAGTTCTGTAACATCTTTATATAAGGTACAAAATATTTAATTTAGGGTTTCACTAAGCCAGCACGTGTGATGGAAAGAATTTGCATTATTTGTTTTATGGAGGGGCTTGGTGCCTGACCAGAGCTTTCAGTCCTGCTTTGCTTGAGACAACTTTACATTCATTTTCTTTGGCAACTAACTTTCAAGAAAAATAGAAAATATTTAGGCTGCACAGTTCTTTGGCTATGATCTACATACTACCCAGCTTTGTATACTCCAGTGCCATTGTATTTAAAGCATTTCAGTCTCTGCTGAAGTTTAAGCACAGCAACAAAGCACATGAATGCCTTTTTTTTAAAGAATGAAACCATTATTGTAAAATTGTCAGGAGGGTGTGAGAAATCAGGAAAATAGTATAAAAATTACATATTGCTTTAGCTCTCATAGGTTATGGAATGGAAATTTCAATTCTTAAAAAAGAAAAAAAAAAGGCCCCATGTAAAATCCAGATAACATTTGAAAATTAAAAACTATAAACCAACAGGAATGACAGAAGCAGTTGCTGGAAGGTCTGACTGTGCTGGATAGAGATTAGAGGAATTATTTCTACTTCAACAACAGTACAATTAAAAGTCAGAAGATAAGCAGTAAATATAACACCCTTACTATAAATATTCTAAAAGAGAAAAACTCTGAACATGTCAAAAGCACAGTGTTTAAGAAGTTGTTCATTAAATCCCCTATGGCTCAATGGCACTTTTTACCTACTCATTTTTCCTAGCCTTTTTTAAACTTCAACATGAACTTATCATGATTTATTAGCGCATCGACTAAAGCTGTTTGTTGCAGAACATCATACTCTCATGTATCTGCTAACAAAGTAATTTGTAAATATGTTTTGGAAGGAACAGAAGGAAAAAAAAAAAAGAAAATACCACTCTACGTGGTATAGAGTCACTGAAAACCTGGAACCTCTTCCCATCTCCATTGACAACACCATTTTAATAAAGCCCTAGAAACACTCCTAACATCTTTTTGTCCCCAAAACGGTGTCCCCATCTGCTTGTGCAGGTGGTGGCAGTGCCCTGTGGCCAGCCGTGGTACTCACTCAAGGGAGGGGACGCCGTTGGCGACGACGCCCTGGTAGCGGCTGATGCCCTTGTGCTGCGTGACGCTGATCTGCCCACCCAGCTCGTCCGCCACCACGCCGGCGTGGATCGCAGATTTGCACAGCAGAGACGTCTGAAAGGCAGGAGCCAAGGCTCAGGAAATCGATCTGACAAACTGCTAATGCCTTCCCTGCCAAGCTACCACTATACAGGTGTTACAGTTCATAAAATCCAGCAAAAACTCGAGAGAAATAAGAGGCAGGGGAGGGAGAAAGAGGAGTAATCTTTGAAAAATATACGTCTCCCAAAGTGATTTTTCTTTTCAAAAACAAATTATCTGCTTTGGAGAAGGTGCTGCAAGATTGTCACTCCTCAGGAAAAAAAAAGTCAAAGGCAAGGCAAATACTTCCTTGGGAAGATAAATCAACAATTCCTTGGTGTTCTTGCCTGAAGACAGACCTATCTATTACTGCACTTTAGGATTTGAATTATGGTGTACATTAGGGGTGGGCTATGTGTTGAGTAGCTGCTTCTGAGTTTTAAGTGTAGCCCATTTCCCATTATCTCAGGTGGGATAGTGCTGAAAAATGCAGGCAGGACAGCTCATGTGCCAACTAGATGGTAATAACAAGGCTAGGGCGAAGCAGGAAAGGGACAGAGAAAGGCAGAGAGGAGACTTTCCTAGAGGCTGCAGGCAGGTTCACACTGGCCCAATTTGGGCTGTGCTACTGGACAAGCTGGGGTGCTGAGCTGTCCCCTCCAGGGAGGGGTGGGGAGAGTGGAGGCACAAATGCAGCACATCTCCAGGGGAGCCCTGCAGTTTCTTCCCATCACAAAATCCTCCTTAATGGTGGAGGGAATATTTCTTTTGCAAATTCCTCAGTGCAGATAAAATCTGCATGAGGTCATGCCATGTGCTGCTTTTCTGCCCTAATCATTGGAACCAAGGGCAGAAAAACTCCAGCTAATGAGAATGTAATGTGGCATTTCTTTGTTTCTTCAGCTCTGCCACTTTTCAGGCTGGAGCCAGCACTCTTGAATAACTGGATGAACAGGTTAAACATGAGTGCTGACTTTTTGGAAACTCAGTGACTGTGATAGGGTTGGATTTTTCTTCAGTGGTATGATTAGGCTTACTCCTCTGTGAGAGAGGTAAAGATTTCACAGACATGACAAGAGAAGAGTCCAGGGAGAGGGGCACAGAGAGGGCAGGGCTCTGAGTCATATGAACTGTGGATAAATGCAACCACTTCAACTTTTTCAGTTTGAAGAACAAGAAGTTAAAACAACCCAGGAGGTCGATAGTTACCAGTGGGATGTGGTTAGGCAGTGTTTAATATTTATTTCATCTCAGAGCATATGCTAGGAATAGTACAGGCATAACCTTAGAGAAAGCCCACGTGTTACTGAAATGTATATTTTTCACATGTGGACACCAAACAAGTAAAAGCTAAAATCATAGAAATATTTCGTCCATGGGTGAGCACTGCCTCAGAAGGACAAACACTAGGCAAGCCTTTTCCAGAAAGCCAAAACCCACAAGTCAGTAGGTATATTTGACAATCAGTGGACTTTGTTCTCACACAATTGATTTGTTTGTTTGAAAAGCGTCTCTGTGTGCTTATATACTGATAACTTACTTATATACTGATAATAAAAGGTATAGCAAAGCAGCCCAGAAGAATTACTAACAAAAATCAAGCAGCAAAAGTTGAAACCAAGTTGTTCTATTGTTGTTTCTTTTGTCTTTATAAATTTGCCCCATTATCCTGTGTACTTACATCTCTGTATCCTTCTCCAATATTCCCAGAAATGTCACCCGCTATGTCTCTGCAGCCAGCAGGACAGTATCTGCTGTAGTGAGAGAAGAAAGGCTTTTTAAAGGCATGAACTGTAGTGACAACACACACAAACAAGCTCCTGTAAAAGAAATGCTCTCAAACCAATAAATATTTTAGCAGTAATTTCTCTAAATTACTGATGCTCTGTTAGGGAGTCTAGGAGCCAAATAAATGGGCCCTTGAATTCATAGGTGGACTGAACTCAGTAGCACACAAAGAACCAGAAAAGCAGTTTAGCAAGGGCATTTATTTCTATTTAATTCTCTTGTTCTAGAAATGCTACCACACAAGTTTTCAGGGTAAGATAAGAAGCCTATATGCACATCCAGACAGCAGCCAAAAGAGCACATTTTATTACCATTTCAAACCTATCACAAAGTTCAAGGAACCGAGAAATTATAGCTTGTCCTCAGATAATCTTGTATCAGCTGGGACGTGATCTGCTCCCAGAGGAAGCACTGGAATTTGAGGCTACTTTGAATTTCAAAGTGGAAATTCTTTTTACATACACCATGTATATGTATGCATTTAATGAGAATTGCTGAGAGCTCTGCAACTCCATTTCATCATTTTTCTGGGCCACAGTCTTCCATTCTGCACTACTGCTTCTCACAACCAAGAATTTTTACTCAAAAAAATTCACTTCTCCAGAAAACCAAGACTCTAACATTTCCTGACAATTGAATCAGTTGACAGATACTGTAAAGCAAGCCAGAATGCAGAGCTGCAAACCCTCTTTACCTGAATTCAGCCTTTGTGTAGTGGTTGGCTCGTTCCAAGCAGGTGATCAGATCTGTGAAAATTTACAAATGACAATTCCCATTGTAGGATGTAAAAATACAGACAAATATTTGCCAGAACGTGAAATTACATTTAAAGACCTCTCTGTATAATACTTTAGCAATGCTATTAGACTGGAAGCAATAGCTGTGGTTTTCTGTCATTCTTTTCAACTCCCTCTTCTACTCTTCTTATGCTTTACACTTTCTTCAAAGTTGAACAGACCTCCAGAACATTAAATGCAGGAATGAAAACTTTAATCCCTCCTACCCCTCCATTCTATCACAGTATGATGGATGCTGGAGCTCAAAACACAGTGGAGCTTCAAGGAGAAGTCACTGTTTTCCCCTCCACTGGCCCTGTATTCCAAATAGTCTAAGTAGGATTTCAGCAGCTATTATACCTGGTTAATGTTACAGCTATTTCTTGCACACATGCTATTAAAAATACCATGGCTCATGCTAATCTGGAAATACTTAGGAACAAACATTTAGGCTAAATCTCTATGTCTGTAAAGATGATAATTAAATAGGGGGAGCTATGCCACTAATCTTTTACTACTTTTCGATATCACCTTACCTGGATGATCACTGCTGGCATAGGACAACAAAAAGCCTCGTCCTGACACGTGGGATCCACTCTCAAAGTGAATAGTTGCCTCATTGCTATCCAGAATGATTTCTTTGGGAACAGGCATCACATTACCACAGTACGGCCCTACAGACAGAACAAAGAAGATTTCAAAAGTTTAGATGACGTAATTAGGCTGGAAAAGTCTCATGATTAGCAGAGAATTTCATAACACACTCATTCTCTTTCAGTATCAACCCAAATGTTGACAAAAGGGTTTTGGCTTCAGTCCTTTATGAGTATGAGCTCTAAAGCTGCCCTGACAAGCAGTGGCCAGGATCCAGTAGTCTCTGCATGGCAGCAATTCCAGCATCCACATTTTTCATCACATAAGCCTTGAGAGAAGGATTAATGCCCTTCGACCTTTGAAGTACAGCGTGCTTACAGCCAGCAGTAACTCATTAGAGAAAATGACACTACATTCAAAAGCAATCCCAGGGATCTAGGCAGGGTCCCCGAGATAAACCCTCCAAATACACACAGCTCATGCCATTGTGGCACGGCAGCCAGTCAGAAAGGATTAGGATCAGAAACAGAGCACCTGGTTTTCAAGGACCTGCATGCCACAAGCCAAATTGTATACAAGACAGTACACAATTGTATACTTCCCTTAGAACATTTCCTAAGCTTTTTCCACTTAAAAACACGTGGAAGAATATAGTTCAAGTCTCTAGAGTTTTAAACAAAAAAAGAGAGGGAGAGAAAAGGGAAGGTGAAGGGAGTGGGACAGGAAGACAACAGCCTTGTGCTTATATTGAATTAGATAAGGGTTTTATAGCTACCAGCTGCAGTATCTTGGAACAGTCTTTGGGACACTCCTTTCTTGTGACAGCAGGCGTGCCCAGGACTCCTAGTAATTACATTTGCTTCCTCAGAAAGTCAGTTCCCAAGGGGAGTGTTCCTTTGAGACTGCCACAGTCTTTGCCATTGCCTTCTGTCACCGTACCTGGGTGCAAACACTTGTCCCTAGCTGCCCTCAGGCACAGATAATACAGAAAATTCAAAGCAGTTTGGATATACTTGTTCAAATTTATGAGTCTATGTACAATATAAACTGCAAAGAAGAGGTTTTTGTAAGATTGCAAACAGACTTTTTTCCCCAAAGGAAAAAAAAAATCCAAATGACCCTTTACAAGCCCTCAGCCCATCTGTTCTGCTGAGGTGAATGACAGCTTTTGTGTCCTAAAGCGAGCCTTTGGGATGAAAAACAACTGCTTTGATTTTTCCTAGACAACCTCATCTTGGTGGTGGTGGTTACTTTAGGGCAACTTGGAACTGACATCTGAGACACAAGAAATTACATTCACATCATGACACAAATTTTATTATGAGTGATACCCATCATAACAGGCTCCTAAAATCTTCTTCATTTTGCTTGATGCCCTGGGTTAGGGAAGGGGCTCTTTTCCAAATACTTCATTTGCCTTATAACAACTATAAGGTCAGCCTATAGAGTAGCCCAATCAGAGCCAACGAGAGCCAGCTGTCAACAGAATGGCACAAACAAAAGAAGGAACTCTTGTCCTTTTGGCTTAAAAATCATATGGTGAAGGCAGGCAGGCAGAGAAACAAGCGACGAGTGTGACATTTCCCTGGAGTACTCATGTGTTGAAAAATGACTCACAACTTAGTCAGAGAAAACAATGTCTATAAAAAGGGTTAAACAAATTGCTTAGGAAATGAACTTATCAAAAAGACAGCATCTGACACTGTGTCATAGCAGCCAACTGCACGAGTGATTTATTTGAGAAGGTCTTTTGTGTCAGGTTGTAGTGGGAGAAGTGCTAACTTAGATATTATTTTTTGAGAGAGAAATGAGAAAAAGATAGGGAGCATTGCATGTCTTCAAAATAAAACACCTGAGAAAGCTTTAGTCCTTTTCTTCTCTCAAGGACTGTCTCTACTCGTTTTCTCACAAGTGTTCTTTGGCTTTCTCCCTCGCAGCGATTGGCAGTGACCTATCTGCTCTGGAGGTATAATTTAGATGGCTGATTCATGCAACCACACATCAGCTGGATCAGGGATGAGTGTCTCCTCCAGTGGCAAGTCTACATACATTCCAGATAATTATACAAACAAATCGTACATCATGAGCAAAACCAATAAAATAAAATAAAAGACAAAATAGTCTAGACACACAGAGCTTATAATCCAAATTAAAGCAAGAAATTCAGAAGCAATCAGCTGAAGAAACCAACATTCAGTGTCTAAAGACAAGTTTCCAGTATTGAGTAATAAATCTAAAAATGTTACCAAGCTATGGTTATCTTCTGCCAAGAGCAGTTCTGGCATACCAAGAGGTTCCCAAAGGTAGCTCAAAAAAAAGGGAGCCTAGGATGAATTCCTTAAAGGATATAGAAGCAAGAAAGAGTATCTGTTCAAGCGAGGAATATTTTCCAAAGATTTATAAGTTTTCTGCAAAAATTTGTAAGAAAAAAAAACATTCACTTGTTCTTTTGTTTCAAACTGAGGAAACCTTGCAAAACATTTCAATATATTTCTTGTCAACAATCCAGGTAATACCTTATCAGCACTACACTGTCAGGTCCTCAGACTTGCCTGAGCTGTCTGTATAACTACTGTACAGCCACAGTGAAGATGAGAGATGATGGAGAAAGCCCTGGTATGAAAATGAGAAACTTGCTTATAGGGTCCTGTTAATTTTTACTGCAGCATTTGGACTTGACTCTGGATAAATATTTAATTCCTAAACCTGGGACTTAGCCAGAAGTTTTTTAAGATCCCTTTTGAGAACTGCCAGATCACGTTATCAGTTTTTCATCTTCTAATGCTAGTTGTGAGGTGGGCTGTTTTGCATATTCGGCTTGAAAAACGAGTCATGAATGCTGATCTCTCTCAGCTTCCTGTTAAAGTGCCTTGGCTGGAGCTCTGCTGGGGTAAGTAGGCAGGATTATTTGGTTTGTTTATAAGAACAAAGGAAAGAGTTTGATTTAATAAACAGATGTGTTACATGTGATGAAGCTGAGTAGGTGTTCTCCATACTTCCATATTACTATATCTGGATAGCAACAGGGCCTTTCCTTCTTTCTGTGTCTCATTAAGAAGTTGACCCAACTGTGGTTCCGTCTGCTCAATCCAGATTACTTTTATACATATTTATAAAAATTCTGCAGGACAGATATTAGAGGTCTAAGGATTTCAAGCATACTAATTTTAATATTCTCCATAATTAAACTAATTTTTAATGCCTTTCATGCAGAACATTTGATCTGCTGGCATAGTTTAGGTGACTTAAATAAAACACTTTTGTCTCCAAGCAGTATTAACATCCTGCAAGATACAGGGTAAATTGTCTCATGGATATCCTTTGGCTGGCCCCTCTGGAGACTGAAGAGACTATTTTACACATTGTTTATTTTTTCAATGTTAGCAATAGCCTGCTGCTTTTGTCTTTTTCATAATAGTGTTGTTTTGCAAATCTGATGATCTTTACAGCATTGTCTGATTTTATGAGGTCTAGTTTACTTCTACAGTCAACCAGGCTCTGGCACAGCTCCTGAGCTTTCCTTGTTGAATTATGTTCCTTTATTTTTTCTACTTTCCTTAAGAAGTACTGTGCCCAGAGGACTCTTTTCTTTCACACCAGCTGGCAATGCCTACATGCTGTTTGTTTCTCTAGTTCTTAATACTTTCTGCCTCTTCTGTAAGGTTTTGCTTCCTTTTAGAAGCAATAATTCCCTCTTCAGCTCTTGAATGGCCAGTTCACTATGCTCATTCTGTTTTCATATTCCTCAACTTCATTTGAAATCTGCAGCTTGACATTTGCAGAGGGCTTTAAGAAACTTGGTTTGGATATTAAATAATTATGTCTTCTGTTCAACAGAGAATCTTCTCCCTTTTTTCAGTCTTTACTTGCAGAATAAGATGTGGTTGGCAAGCAAGAGGCAACAATCCAGGGATGTCCTTCTAAAGGATTATCAGGTCTTAGTGCATTTGTTTGGGGAAAACTATGTTTTAAATTGTAGCCTTTTCTCAAATAAATCAATTTGGAATTACCTCAGTAGCTGGGGAAGAATAGGGGATGAGATGAACAGAGATTACACTTGTTTCACTTCAGACCTAAAAACCCATCCAGAGTGCAAGTCTTTCACAAGTAGTTCACAAAACCAGCAAGGATCTGCTGTATGAAAACACCTTCAGTCTCAAAATCCATCTCCGTCCCACATTCACACAAATACTTTGACAAGCAGTAACTCTTCCTCTCCCCCTTACCAAGAGAGGTCCTCTTTGCTCCAACCCTGACATGCACATGGTGCAGTGGGAACCAGCAGGACCCTGCAAGGACACAGAAAGTGCTGCTCTATGTCCTTCTTTGCAGGATGCAGGGACGGTGGTGTTTAACTCTGCAGATACGAGATGACAGAGCAGTCAGGATGGGACAGCCTGGTTATTCAACATTTAACTTTGTGCAACACAGTCTGACCTCAGGCTGAGTGGTAAGCATTTCTTGTTTCAGGAAAAACAAATACAACTTTCGGTTAACGTTTACAAAGGGTTGCCAAAGACTGCAATAAAGGAAAGAAAAAGGCATCTGAGTTAGGTTGGGGAAGTAATCACAACTTTAAAATGGAGCATCTGGGCCACCTGCACAGGCTGGTCTGCCTGCTTGACCTCAGGTGAGATTCCCTCTTTTAACATGGTTGTGGTTTTAGCCAAAGACAGAAACACAGCAACAACTAGGAATCATGAGTGAAGAACTGTAATTTAACAAAAAACAGAGACTAACACACTGTATGCAGCTAACAGGAAAAAAGGCCAATTTGATAAAACAAAATGCTGACAATTCTTTGTTGCATCAATCTTTCCAAAGATGAAAACTCAGGAAACTGCAACCACTCAGGTGAAACCCAACTGTTAAAAGTGTTTTGACTGTTAAGAAACTGCTCAACTTGATCTTCAGCAAGAACTTGTCTGGGCATTTCTCTGGGTTTCCTGAAATACCAGAAACAATACAGTAATAACAAGTTTCCTTTGAGGAATGAAAAAGAAATCTGGACACACCCTCTATTCAAACAAGATATTTATTACAATACATAATAAGGGGCAACTGGTTTGATGAATCCCTTCAAATCATAATGACAGGTAGGAGGCATCCAAAGGCACTCTGTACCTTTAGTGAGGGGGTGTGGGGAGAAGAAAGCATTTCCAGTAAATTCTCTATTTCACGTTAGTTACCAGCTGTAAATTATGCAAGAACAAGTCAACTGCACTAACTCTCCAAATTATTACTAGTCACTCAGCAGCTCTGACATCCACCCCAGAGGAACACATCAACCTCCTACTGACTGCAAGTGAATGAGGAAGTAAGTAGGCACTTATCTCTTCTTTTGGCTTTCTCTCCAGTCAAGACTGATGATCATCTCACAAAATTAAGGGAAAAAATATCAAGCCATTAGATGGGGAAGAGATAGAAAAAAGCAAAAAAAAGGGGGTCAAAAGAGGTACAGAAATTTGATAGAGACATGAAAAGAAGCAGACTAAAAGCAGTACCTGTCAAACTTTTAAAACATTTATGATCCACCTTCATAAGTAGTGCAAATTTTGTCCTGAGAACCACAGGGCTGACATGGTTAATCTTGTTTTCACATATCCCTTTAACTAATTAAAAAATCAGAAGCTCTACTTCAGAGCTCAGTATTTTTAATATGCTCAGATAATGCAATTAACTTGAGAAGAAAAGCATTTCGGTAAAGGCTGCTTCTTGTCTGCACTGTGAGATTATGCTCATATTAATTTTCTGTGGGACAAAAAACACTATATTTTAATCCAGTCAAAAACTGTGCCTTTGAAACAGACCATGATCATCTATTTATTTCTCTTAGAGACAACCTGTGCAAAGCTGTGCTAATATTTAAATGTTTGTCAGACAAAGGTGACTCAGTTTCACCAAAACGGGTGTTAGACTCCCTTTGCTGACTGATGATTAATATTTTCACAGCTACGTCTGGATACAGAGCTAACAGCTTGAAAGAAAAGGCTTGCTGCAGGTTCCTTTCTCCAGTGAACACTAAAGAAAATAATTTGCAGAATAATAACTCAGAGATACAGCACCAAGACCCTGCATGACTCCAGTTTTAGAGCTTCATTAAGATTATTTAACTATCATTTTTAATTGCAATATTGGAGAAATATAAATTCAATAGCTGCTTTCATCAAAGGTCCATCAAAGCTGAGAAGTACCAAAGGTGAGAAGAACTGTAGTGTCACATTTGTGTTTTAGTTGAGAACGGGAAAGGCTTCAGTAGATCAGCATACACAACAACTGCATGTTTTTCCAGGAATGAATCATACTGTTCCATCCATCTGCAGAATTCAAGGAATGTCCTGAACTTTTATAAAATCTGCATGTAGGTGCTCTAATCTGCAGTCAGCAACTTACTAAAGTAGCATCAATGTTCCCACTAACATAAATCAATTAATCCCTTCATTTGTATTTAACAGATTCCCTTTGCTGCATGGAACATAAATACCCCAAAGACAAATTGAGTTACTCCTTGCTGTATTGCAAGAATCCCTGCAGATGGTTATAATGATGAATGAATCACAGTTATATGTAAAGACTGGAAGAAATCTGAAAGGAAAACAATACTTTATCATCTGGAGCCTTCTCCACACTAATTTTATATTTGTACGCATAATCTGGTATTTTGCCTCTGACCAATTTTCCAAGCTTCAGATATACTCCTCAACAGATGTTTTCATTCATACTGACATTCATACTGTTGTCTTCTGTAGAGCTGAAGAAATCAGCATGATATTTAAAACATATTTCCCTTTGGACCTTATTGTCTCATAATTGCAAACCTCCTAAATAAAGAGCAAAGTCTGCTCAGACTAATTTGAAACATGAGCACTATTCACGTGATCATCTTTCATACTTTGCTTTTTAGGTTTTCCTTTTTAAACCCAGGTCAAATACAGAAAACACACAAAGATTAGTTTTTAATTGCTCAGATGTTTTCAGTGCTTACAAAATATTTTCAAGTCTCCATCATCCCATGAAAGAATTTCGATGTCTAAGGTCAGTATCTCCTCAGCTAAAGGGAAGATATTGACCTGCCTGTAGATGTTCATGAAGAGGGAAGGGTTGCAAAGAGGAGATCTGAGTTCAGAAACAGCTGTCTAAAAGGACATTTAACAGACTGAATGGATGTAGCAGGGCTTTTTCACAGGGTTTCTTTCACTTGTACAAATGCTTATTGAAGCCCAAAGCTATAGTAAGACTGTTGAAAAAAATGACTTAGAGAAGCTCTAATCTCATCTAAGAATTCACATGTCTTTTAAAACATAAGCAACATAATGAATTTATGCCTATAGAACTATTGCCACATCCATTCTGCATGGATTTGCCTGAATGCAGAACAGACTCTGTAGGTATGCTGGTGGGAAAGTCTACAGTGAGCTGCAGACCACAAAAACCATTACAGATGGTAAGCCTGTCTAAACTGTAAAACTGGTTTAATCAGATATGACCAAAATCTGCTAATTGTGCAGTTCACTACTGAGAATGCAAATTACAGTCCACATGCATCAGACATTACTAATCAGATCTGAAAATGGGTGTGGGAATGCTTTAAAAAAATTAATTATGTGAACTTGATTGCATAATACACAGCTATTCTGTGCTTATAGGCTGAATAACTGCAGTATAAATGATGTGAAGATGCCTTCAGGCTGATCTGTAAGGAGCCAGAATTTCAATCAACATCCAAGCTTCATTTTTCACTTCAAAAAACAGTATGTTGATTTATCCCTGTTTCCGAGAAGATTTAGATTAGAAATGTCAAGAGAGTATCAATAAAAATTATTCAAAGATATGCTAATGCAATAATAGCCACCTATTTCTTACTGCCAAGTACAGACAGACTACTTCAGGTGAACACCACTCATTTCTTAGTTCTGAAATGGATCACAGAACCATAGAATGGCTTGGGTTGTAAGGGATCTTAAAGAGCCTCTAATTTCAACCCTCCCTGACAAGAACAGGGACCTTCCACTAGACTAGGTTGGTCAGGTCCCCATCCAACCTGGCCTTGAACACTTCCAAGGACGGAGCGTCCACAACTTTTCTGGGCAACCTGTCACCACTTCTCACTTCTCAGTGAAGAAAGAAATAAATAACACTAAAAAATTCCAGCACACATGAACAGAGATGTTCCTTATGCCTCAAATCAAGCTCTGTGCAGGCTTAGATATCAGCATGTCACTGCCCACTCTTACTGAAAGTTGTTTCAAAATGTAATACCTCCCCCATGAGAACAATAATTACCTTTACCTTCCTTTGTGAGCAAGCCTTTAATACCTCACTTGATCTTGTCTTACCAGATGAGTGATAAGCCCATCATGCTGATAAATGAAAGGCAATCAACCTTCCTTACTACTAAGATATATCATGAGATCTCATCTTTGGAGAACCACATACTTTTCTGAGCCAAGCAGCGAGGTGGAAAACCTGCAGAGGCTCTGTGCAGCTCATATCTTCATCACATTTTTCCCTTGAATTAATTTTGTTTATTAGGTCCAGGACAGTACATTTAGCCTCAGCTGACTGAAGGGCTACACAGCCCACTCCCAGCAGGCAAAATTTTATGAACTGTCAATTCATGAGTTCATTCCTACAGTGCAGAACCCTTGCAGCTTTGAATTCAAATCAGATTTCTGAAAAAGGGTGCATGACTTGAAAATCAGTTTGACTCTTCTAGAAAGTGCAGATCAAAAGTTTCTGTGACAACTGGTTGGGAAAACCATTTTGAGGAAGGCCTCTTGTTGTCCCTGGGGAGAATCCTGTTGCTGTTATGATTGTTTTAAGTGCACAGCTGTAGCAGATTATTTGCTTATCTTCCAGTACAAATCTCTTACAAGAGCACAGTCTGACTGTATGCATTTAATATCAGCAAGTATTAAAGCCTGTACATTACTAAGGTGGCTAACAGCTGGCAATAGTAAAGGTTATCTCCTCTCTGAGCCATGGACTGCCTAGGAATGGAGACACACAGGATCATTGACTCCAATTTCTCATCTTTGTCTAGTTTGTGAGGAAGTTCTTCCACTACACAAGAAGGGAACAGGGCTGATACAGACCTACAGACTTGCTGTACCAAAACTGTGATGGTCCAGCTGTGCAGGTGTGAAGGCAGATCCCTCAGGAACGCTGTGCCCGAGCCCCAGCAGCCGCTCTGCAGCACAGCATGGCAGCGCCACACCCGGGGGGACAATGGCTTCCCACACAGAGAACGAAACACCTCAATACAGAAAGGAGGAAGAGAGGAAAAAGGCTGATATTTCTTGCATTTTGCTAAGCTGCCTTTTACTCACACTTTCACCAGCTCATGCATCGACCATGGCCTTGTCTCTTACATACCATGCAACGTTGAAGAGCTCTGGATAGTAAGGTAGCTGGACTCGCATTTCTGTGATTCAATATCCAGGTCTCCAATTTTCAAGATCAGGCGTTTTCCTGGAGGCACTTGGATTTTCTTTTCACAAAGAGTGTAGTTTGGGTATGTCCCGGGATAGTTCTTGGATGCCAGTGTCCCACTGTCTTGGTACATGACTGTGTGCCCACATCCATCCCCTGCAGTAGGAGAACAGAAAGGAAGAGAAACAAAATGTATTCCTCAATTTAAAAATACGTAAGAAAATACTGGCTACATAATCATGTCTCATGCACTTTTCCCTTTTAAATAAGTATTTTGTAGTACTCCACCTCATTCTGCTGTTGTTGGAACATAGGCAGCTGAAATATAGTCACATTTCTCTTGTACAGCAGTAGAAAGAAGGGTTGGAAACACCCATGAACTGGGGTGTATTTGACAGTACAGTGTCTCTCTGGCTTTCTGCCTTATAGCCAAACCCTACTAAATCCATGAATATGCAATTCCACATGTAAAGAGCAGGATCCTTCCTTAAGTAGTTTTCTCCCAGTTTTCAGTCAGCGCTTTATTTCCACAGCAATAGCCATCTCAGAGAGGGTAACTGAGTCATACATGAAAGCACAGACATGACTTAACTGCGTACTATCACAGACCTGACACATCTTATTTTCCTCTTGTTTTTCTTGTCCCACTTGCACAATACTAACAGCACAGGGTGAAGACACAAGAGGGTCTTCCAAAGTGGGGTGTGCACTGTTAATGGTACACAGGCTGCTTTGCAGCAGCATGCCCAGAAATTCAGTGCTGCTACCTCTGTGCTCAAGAGGTGAGGGTAGGGGCCCTCACAGTGTCTCTTCACGGCACTGTATAGGAGCCAGCTCAGTTTTTGAACCTTTCCTTGGTGGAGAGGCATCTGAGGAGCGGCTGCAGCAGATCAGAGGACAACAGGAAAAGGCACATGGAAATACATAGGGGGATGTGTGGACTGACATGGAAAACAGGAAGCATCCATAGAGGGGGAAGGAAGCAGGTATCAGATAAGAGACCTTGACTACTAAAGGAAGCAATTTTTACTGAACTATTTAAAAGCATACTAGTAAATAAAATTTGTATACTAAAGCTTAAGCCAGTTTGTTCTGCTCAATCTTCCAAATAATGGAAATATTTGTGACAGTGGACTAGTGTTGCATATACACACATACAAGCAGTCCTGTTTCAGGTCATTTAGGGCATAGGCACACTTTCCATGGGAGCCTTGCATTCTGTTATCCTTTATCTTGGCAAAACTGAAGCTAATCCAATAAGTGTTAACAAAATAAAGAATCCTGCAGGGCTGGGAATTCGCAATGTTCACTTTACCCAGAATTTTCCTTTTGGGGATATTTTGGTTAAACGGTTTTGGTCTGTGCCATTTTAATTACTATCTGAATTTCCTTCCAAAATCATTAGAAGCAACAAACTTAAGGTTTGATAGGACTTTTAAAAAGGAAAAACTAGGAATGAAGTGTTGAAAAAGAAACATGCCATACCAAGGTGGGGGGAAAGTGGCATGCTGTGCTAAGATAAGCTCCAAGCTATCAAACTTTGACTTGCTACCATATAATTACACTGCCATTTCATCCAACTCACTCAACTGCTCTTTCACAAGCAATCACATTTATTTTGAAGCTTTGGCATTACTACTAGCTTTGTTGCCTAGTATTTATTTTTGTCATAGGTTCATGCTGGGAGGAGAGGTGAATAGGAGACATAGATCAAAAATCACATCACCATAAAACATATTCTATATTTTTTTTTTCAGATCTCCTTTTTCACATGCTTTAAAAAACATCTGTTGTTCAGGGTTTTTAACCAAGAGCTATTGACTTTAGGATGGCTAGGAAAACACTCAAGATGAAAGGCAAGCTGGCTTCATGAGCAAATCACCTTTTAATGGAAACTTTTGGCAACATGACTGAAGATATAAAGAACATTATGGCAGTTGAGCTGTCAACTTCCTGCAGAGAGAGGGGTCCATAGAGGTCTAGGCAGTGTGAAACCAGATCAGCTCCAGCAGGACACAGGACAACCTTGATGCCCATGTAGCCAGCTGCTGTACAATAAAAAAAGAACTGCCCATGGCCTTTAATTTAAACTGCATGTTTCTAACTCTGAGAATTTATTTTAAAGAAAGTGAAATATTGAGCTTTGTTTGCAACATATCCTCATTAGGGAAGAAAAGGCAAAACAACGGGAAAGTTACAGAACCACATGGGGATGAACTCCTTAAAATGGAAAGTCACAGACTTCATCTTACTGGGCTATGTTCTGCCCTCTGTCACCTTTGTACAATGCCAAGGATCTTTTGTGGTGCAAAATGCTGCTCAAAAATTGTAAAAACCTTGCTATCATGACAAGACTCTGATGACTGTCCAGGTCACAGAGCCTTATATTTCTGCAGAAAGTGTACAGGCAAAGCTGTGCATGAGAGCCCTCATCCTGCCATCCTCCTCTGTAGAGGTTATACAAGGTCTTGTTCCCAGGGAAACTTTTTTTTTTTTTTTTTTTTTTTTTTTTTTTTTTTTTATTTTTTTTTTTTGGGGGTGTATTGCCCCGGGAAAATTTTTTTTTTTTTTTTTTTTTTTTTTTTTTTTTTTTTTTTTTTTTTTTGTTAAATCTGTCTTTGAGAGAGATCATTAACACCAGAACACCTTTTGAGCTAAGAAAGCATAAATGTTACTTTCTGACTTTTCCCTGGTGGAGCATGGCCATCCAAACACTCAGCTCAGCATCAGCCTACATCTATAACATCCCTTGCTGCCTCAGTTCTGCCTGCTTGCCATGAAGCAAAAGCTAATGATAAAAGCTTGTTTGCCACTTGTTTGCCACAAGAACCAAAGTAATGTCCAAAAAGACACACCAAGTCCTATTAACTTCTGCTTCTTACAGAGAAAGCTGACTGCACCTCTGAGTTCCAAGTTTCTCAGCAAGATTAAGATTTTTCTTTGCTCTGGTACACTGAAATTTGTTGGAAAACACACCCAAAAGAAGGAATCAGAAGGTATAGAAGGAAGGTAGAATAAAGCTCAGGATCTGACAAGTCAAAGAGCAAATTAATGACCAAATATTAGTAAAAAACTCTAAAATATAACATCACTATATAACAAGGGCTCAGAAAAGGAAGCAAGTTGTAAGGCATTCAAGCACATCCCTAGTCACATTATCAAATGGAAAATGTGAACAATACTGCCATTAGTTTTGCTCTTATTATTTTCCACAGGAAATTTTGATTTTCAGTAGAAATATGTTGGCCAAACTTAAAATACACTCAGTTGAAAACACAACTCCTTGTCCTTATGAAAACTATGGCTTAAACTCCTGGTGTCACACTCTTTCCTACAGGCATAGCTCTTCTGGACAGAAATACCTTCATTTAACCAGTCAGTTTGTCTTGCTGACACTAAATTTTCACTTATCATTACTTCTGAGAACTGTTTTCTATCACCCCATTTGGCAAGAAGCTGTTAGCCTTGCCTCAGACATCCAGGTTTCACCACTTCTCACTGGACAGGAGCAAAGCAACATATTTGAGCACAAGGCACTAAACAACCAGAGAATCTAAACCTACTCAGATTTAATAAAATCTCTCCTCAGCACCAGGAGCTATTGAAAACACATCAAACATGCTTTGTAGAACAGGTTCCCATTGGCACTTGAATTAAGACCAAGATCATGATCTCCGAATCGTGGGCGACCACCTGCTGGCCTACCTGCAGGTTGTACCAGAGATCACACAGCACTGGAATTAAGGCTGTTTACCAGAGATAAAAATAATCTCCCACGGTAGATGATGGAAACAACTCCCCGAGAAGAAAGAACCACAGCTGGCACCTTCTGCCACAGCAGCAGGCACACCACTCACACCTTGGGCTCTCTCACATGATGCTTGCCAAGAGCAGGGCATGTTTGTAAACCCAAACCTGGGACCCCACCAGAAGACACCAGCACACGTGGCTGTGGAGAGGGCAAGAGGAGACACCAAGGGGCTGGCAGGTATCCCCACCCTCAGACAGAGATGTAATGGATGCATGTGGGACAAGGTGGAGAAGTAGCTCCAAGCAGCTGTGTCTGGGCTGGGTCTGACCACGGCTGCTGGCCCACAGGCAGGAGGGCCCCCTCTACATCTAACCTGCCCAGGAGGGACAGAGGTGATGAAATCAATGCCCACAAACAAGCTCTGGCCCGATCCTGTGAGCTGCCTGGGACACAGCCCCTGACAGATACTGGGGCTTTAGCAGAGTGGTGGTGCCAGAAGCAGCACAGAGAATCCTGAAGATAATGCTGGTTCCTTCAGGTACCCTCCTGTCACCCAGAGCCACCTGACTGGACTGACTCTCTCCTTCCATCCCTTCCTAGGCCCAGCACACAATCTGAGCCATGATGGCTCACTCCTCTCCCCGTGGGCTTCACCAGCCTTTGGATGCACACAGTGCCTTCATGCAACCACTCAGAACATTCCCTCCTGAGACAGGCAAAAGGCTACAGTTTTTCAAATAAGTGCTCTACAAAGTTTTCACTTGCCGCACCTTTCAGAAACATGTTGATTCGGCCAACTACAAAACAGTTACAGTGTATGATATCAAAGTATTTTCAAAAGCATTGCTACAATGTCCTGGCAGCAAACAGCTGCCTTTTTCATCCTTCTGATTCACCCTCACCAAGCAATTCATAACAGCCTTGGACTGACTCCAGTGCTAAATACATGTTATACCTAGGCGTGATCACTCACCCAGCCTGCGGCTCCCTGCCCTCTTCCATCCCATCCGACGAGCCCTGTGTGGCCCCAGCTTTTCCCACTTGGTCTGCCTGCTTACAGACTACTGCTACCTGATGTCCCTTGGCTGCCCACTCTTTCCACTGGGATGAAGCCCCCCAAAGCATCTTTCTTTCCCTCCCTGCCTCCTCTTGCCCAGTTTGACATCCTTTTGGAGGTCACCTTCATGGTGGTGCTTGGGAGAAGGCAAGCTGCCCCTACTCCACATGGGAACAGAGCTGTTGGGAGCTCATGCCCTGTCCTGTCTTCCTTTCCACTCCTTCCTTTGAGAGGAGAGCAGAAAACTGAGTTTGAATACCCAAACTCTGAACCCAGCCCAAATAATCAGCATTTTCTGAAGAGCCACTGCAGCAAAAGGGCACAGTCAAAGGGAGCAGAATGCCATGG